GGGAGCCCAGCAAATTTGGAAAGTGAAAAATGTGCCACCTTAAGGGGAACGTGTTCTCCTCGTTTTACTTATTCAGTCGCAAACCCCCAGACGAGCTGAGAAAATTGTATCACAAGGCATGTTAAAACCGAAAAGCCTTCGAGTTCAACTCCCAGTGGGGTGTGGATCGTGAATTTGAAGTATATCGTTTGAATCCTCTCTCGTTGACGAGGGAAATCACATGACATTGTTTTGTCAAAATCAAAAACTCCCTGATGATTGCACCCATTGGGGGTGTGGTTTCCAAATTTTGCTTATCCAATTAAGATCCCCTCATCTGGCTAAGAAAAATGATTTATTGCATGATAGAATCGATAAGTAGTTGATGACCACACCCACTGGGGGTGTGGTTTCCAGATTGCAAGGTATAAGTCGTGATCTCCCCATCGAGCTGAGAAAACCTATATATCACATGACGTGGTTTTGTTAAAATCGAAAAGTAGCTTATGCCCACACCCACTGGGGGTGTGGTCTCCAATTTTTAAGTATTCTGCCATTATCTCCTCGTCGAGCTGAGAAAAATGATATATCAAATGACGTGGTTTCGTTAAAATGGAGAAGTCGCTGATGACCACACCCACTGGGGGTGTGGTTTCCAAATTTCAAATATTTAATCTTGATCTCCCCATCGAGCTGAGAAGAATGATATGTCGCATGACGTGGATTCGTTAAAATGGAGAAGTCGCTGATGACCACACCCACTGGGGGTGTGGTTTCCAAATTTCAAATATTTAATCTTGATCTCCCCATTGAGCTGAGAAGAAGGATATGTCGCATGACGTGGTTTCGTTAAAATGGAGAAGTCGCTGATGACCACACCCACTGGGGGTGTGGTTTCCAAATTTCAAATATTTAATCTTGATCTCCCCATTGAGCTGAGAAGAAGGATATGTCGCATGACGTGGTTTCGTTAAAATGGAGAAGTCGCTGATGACCACACCCACTGGGGGTGTGGTTTCCAAATTTCAAATATTTAATCTTGATCTCCCCATCGAGCTGAGAAGAATGATATGTCGCATGCCGTATATGAGTTGGGTATTCGCAGAAGCGCCGATGGCCACACCCCTTTGTCGTCATGAGGTCTACGATAAGGTCAGGTTATTCAGATGGGGTGCACGATGAAGTTTATGAATAATGGTGACGTTGAATTTCAGAAACTACGGTGGTAAGAATTTTTTCTATTGTATTTCTTGGGAATTGACCTTTGACCACACCCACCATTGACCCCTAATGAACGGGTGCGGCCAGATAACCGCTGGATACGATGACCTGACTATCCGCCAAGAATCTGTACCCAGGTCTTTCGAATTCCCTTGCAGAATTTTGAAATTCAATACGGCAATGTCTTTTGATTTTTTTGACCTTGTGACCTCGATAACTGGTGGGTGGGGCCAAATTTCAAAAATTTGAAAATATATATTTCGCCCAAGGGTCCAAGGTTTCCAAAACGTGCGCCATTTTGAAAATCCATCAAGAAATGACCGTGCAATTAATTTTGAAACTTTACATGTTGTTAGTTATGGCAAGGTCGGCCATTTAGCCTTACAATATTATTAACATTGGCCGATGGTCCGTCTTTTCTGGATGGACCATAATACATTTATAACCAGTTGGTGACAAATTCATAACCACGGCGGTGGAGTCACACACGTTTACTTTTTGGTTATAATCGTAACTCCATTTCTGAAAGTGTATGTATGTATGTATGTAAGTGGTCACAGGTAGCGGTAAATTGTGCATTTTGCACGATGACTTATGCACTTATGTAGACCAGTGTAGTCATGGAATGATTTGTTGCATAAGTGGCTGAACAGAGTTTATTTTCTAGTGTGATTTACGGTATGAGGACTTGATATTCAGAACTAAATAGTTTTGTTTATTAGAATATGTTTATTAGAGTTTATTTGTATGCAGCCTCCACAAAGCAACGGGACAAGTATAAACTCTTGGAAAACCTAACGTTCGTCATGGCCTTCGTATTCTTGACTGCATTCACGGTGTGGGCAATTATCCTGTACAAAATTCAGGAGAAAGACGCCTTCATATTTTCTTTGGTATCGAACTCGTACAAATGGATGTATTTCATTTTTTTCCTCACGTTTGAAGCCTGGTCAAAAACGGCGGTGTTATTTCATGTCGTTTGGGATCAATACTTCCTTATGGCGATGCTCTTAATCCACTCGTACTGGCTCAGATGGAGAGTGTAAGAAGATTTTTTTTAAGAATCGGGTTATGTACTGTTGCCGATGAGTTGTATGTATTTAAATTAGTTGGAGAATTATATATATTTAATATCGCTAGTCACCAGGATATACCGACAGAATTGAATTTTGAATTATTTTTAACTCAGAGACGAATTTGTGGTTCAATGTTTTAAATTCTAAGGAAATCAAAAAATGCGAATTGACAATCTTTAGCCTGCGATAAACTCATTAACCGCTGATTTATTGTTTGGTATTCCGATCAGTATAACAACGTTAGTGTACGTATTTTAAACTTGTACAATTTATCACACATTTACCTAAAATTCAGAAATTACAAAATTTCAAGTTTAAAATTTTTTAAAACTGAATTTATCACAACTTATGTATTAACCATCTAGCCATTGTGGGTTTCAGCCTAACTCATTTAAATACACTCATCGGTAAAACTAAGCCTATCTGAGTCTTTGTTTTTGCTGTCTGTTATACAGAATTATTTTACTTTTACCAGGATTTCAAACATTTCAACTAATCAGACCCAACGTTCCTCTGCCCGAGACTATAGCCACTTTCGCCTCCTGTGCAAATACATGAATGCTGCCCATGTCGGAATAAGCACTCCGTTCATTCTCGCCGTATTATTCTTATATCTGTTGGTCGGTTCTCTTGGTTTGATTCGTTTACCGAGAAAAATTCCGCTCGATTCGTACCTTATCTTCCCCTGTCTTGTTATCAATAGTTATATAATTTCTTTGTTAATATTTCTTCCAGGTGCGTATCAGTTCAAACTTGCCGTAAAATATAGGTTACAGGTGAGACAATTAGTGAAAATGAGGATGAGCAAGGAGGACAAAATTGGTCGCATAGCTGCAAAAAGTCTGCAACTGTTCGGTTTGGAGTTGACGGAGCAAAATTTCGTGCAAAGTTCGTACCTCTTGTCGTATTATTTGTCTCTTTCGACCTACGTTGTGTCAGGTTTGGTAGCATTCCAGTTATAAATGCATAGATAGGTAACGTGGAACGTGAAAGAAAGCGACTTGTATGCATGTAAAAATACATATAAGCACTGCATGTCAGCCTTCGTAATTCCGTAACAGTAGTGGCTCTAATAGATTAGAAAAAAAGCAGGAATAAACAGTAATTTGCTATTTATTTGAAAGGAGACTTACATTTGGGCTGCACTTCTTATGGGAAAATTCAAGAAATTTCAGTGAATATGTATGCAAGTAATTTAATGATAAGAAACAAGGAAACTTCCTCTTCGCGTGAAAAATCCGTCCTCAGTCTTGGCTTAAGTGGAGCAGGGAAAGTTCTAAAGAAGATAAATCTGAATATATGTATGAACGTTTACATAATGTTACAGTCCCTCCCACAGGAATTCTTTACATTCGAATAAATATGTATGTATATGTACATGTATGCACCTATGTATTTTCATTATTCACCAAAAAACATGCCCCGTCCATGTCCAGATTATTGACTTGTTCAATAATTTAACACCTGCCGGTTAGTCATCAATTTTCTATAAACCCTACATTATATATGTTTCCTGCACGAAACGGACGCCAAAACTTGAGGAACATTTCGAGAATAATTACCAGTTTGAAATGGTGAACCTGTACAAAAAAGCGAAATCTTTTTTTCACCTATATTTAATCTATTTCGATTCAAAACTAAGCAAATTTTCCAATAGGCGCAACACGATATACAATTGTATCAAAATTAGCGCATGTATCTCCATCCTGTTAGGCATTTTCTTAAATGGTTTCTACTCGATATTATTCACCAAGTTAGCAATACAGGAAACTACTTTCATCCTATTTGTCTTACTTGCATTTTCCTTGTTATTCCTAGCCTTTTCTCCCATGCTTATCGAACCTGATCCTTTCGTATCGTTACTAAATTCCAGACAAAAATTTTACTTCGAAAATATCCATGCAAATTTACTAAGTAAGTTAATTATTTTTATTGGAATGCTTTTAATTAATAATGTCATAAAACTAAGAGTCATTGAAATTTTCAAATCTCCATAATACTTTGTACAGATCCTCCAGCAAATTTAGTTGCAAGGTGGAAACTTATATCCAAGTTTAACAACATCTCATCAGACATTCTAAGGATGACGGCGCCCAGTGCGTTAGTAGGGTTGCCGCGGGTAACGGGTCGGGTACCCGTTACCCGCATACCCGCACAGTTCTAGCGGGTACCCGTTATCTGCGGGTAGCGAGAGCTACCCGCACGGGTAACGGGTAGTTGTGTTTTTATTTAATTTTCGACATAAATCAGTTCACAAAGAAAGTTAGCAACAAGTTAGCCCATTTCCCAACAAAAGCGTCAATTTATTATTTATCCATTTCGAAATTTGTCATTCTACAGCAGCTAGGGTTTATAGCGAGCGTGTCTTTTCGGAAGCCACTGAAGCCTACGGCAGTCTCAAATACTTTCCACGGCCCGAAAATGCGGAGAAATTATTGTTTCTCAAACATAATTTGCGTGCTCAAAAATATGAGTAATAATTTGACTTGTATTTGTGTGCAAGAAAGACTGATGAGATTTTAATTTATTTTTAGATGACGTTGAGACGGACATTGTGTGTTGACGTTATTTTAAGAACACTTTATTTTCCCAATATTTCGACAATAAACTTTTGTCTTCATCAGGGGAGATGGTAAAAATGTAATTTAAGATACACCGATATTATGAGAATGCACAAATCATGAAGATCACAATTATGACTAACAATGGAGACTGGTTGTTATGTTACAGTAAATGTAATAATGCGGATGTCCAAATCGGGTTGATTTTCATTCCATCTTTTTGATTCATTGCTGTTTTCTCGGCATTGATGTAGAGACCCTCTTTGAATATTCTTGAGAAGTATTTTTGTTCTGTTTCAATGAGTACTGCCGAATCAAAATCAATTTGATGGGATGAATATTGAGAAATATGTTGTGCTACAGCCGAAGATTCTGACATTTTTCTGAGGTCTCGTTTATGTTCATTGACTCTTGTTTTTAGATTTCTTCCGGTTTGACCAACATATGTAGCTTCACAATCGTGACAAGGGATTTTGTATATGCCACAGGTTATCGGAGGGTTTTTATCCTTGTGAGAGGTGAAGAATTTGTGAAGTTTCGTTCCGGTTTTGTAGCCAAAATCGAAATTTGTTCTCCTTCTGAGGAAACTTGTTAATCTTCCAGTTGCGGGTCCGAGAAATGGTAACACAAATCTTGGGGTCGGTTCATCACTAGAGGGCGGTTGTCTGGGTAGGCTTAGTTTGTGTCTCATAGTTGATATCCTTTTAGAAATTAAAACATTTGTGACATGAGACAATTCAGATGGTAAAGAGTCTTTGTCAGATATTCTGATTGCTCGGTAGGAAAGGGCATCTATGACTGAAATTTTATGTGACATGTGATGATATGAAGAGAAATTGAGGTACTTATCTGTACTGGTCTTATTTCTATAGACTCTGTGTCCAAAGGTGTTGTCATCTTTTCGGTAGATTTGGACATCTAGGAATGGTAGTTGATTATTTGTTTCCTCCTCAATTGTGAATTGGATTTTCGGATGAAAACTATTTAATTTCGCCAGGATGACTTCCTTCTTATTTTCTTTGATGTGGGAAAAGGTGTCATCAACGTACCGCTTCCAGAAGGATATGAAAGGGTCTTTATGGTGTATTATAATTAGTATATTATATTATACTTTGTATATATTTTAATTTATACTTTAAAGGTGAAAAACCTGAACCCGATTGAAAGCAATAATGTTATTTGTACACAATTTTATAATGAAAACTTCATTTAAGTATACCAAAATTTCAAAAAATTAAACTGTATTTAGACTGCACCTTTTTCAAGCTATACCAAAATTGTCCAGCGAGAATATTAAAAAGTCAAGCCAAAAATCAGGAACCGCGTGATACTTTCCGTTGCGTGTCCACTTTGAAGGAAATATTGGCGGTAAAGTTCAATTTTTAAGTAAAAGTTTTGCATCTTTTTCCTCAACTGGACGGAAACCATTGTGGACTTTGAACTCTGCCCCCAATAGTTTTTTTAAACGGGCTATTTAAGGGAGAGATAATTGATAATTCCTAATTTTTGGCTTAATATTTTGATATCATTCGCTAAGAAATCCCGGTGTAGTTTGAAAAACGTTCCATTGTAAGCCAAAAGGTTTGGTTTCAAACAACTAGTGACATTCCCATATCAAAGTATGGCATGCGTTACTTGAGTAGCATTATCCCAAACTACATATCAACCCAAATGAGCGAATAATTAATTAAATCGAATTTATTCTTACGGCTGGTTAGGTTGTAACTCAATTCTCATAACGAGTAGCGGGTAACGGGTACCCGCGGCCCAGCGGCAGCTGGGCTGCGGGTAGCGGGTCGGGTAACGGGTAGTATTTTTGCTACCCGCGGCAACCCTATGCGTTAGTACTACTTACGGTTATCGAAGCGGGAATAAAGCCGTTTTTAGGATCCCGATGGAACGATTGTGCATTCGCATCAAGCCAAGTTGGGCTTGGTGTTTTATTGGTGATGCAGGCGTGGGCGATCTTGTGCCTGGGTTGGTCTATAACCGACTTTATGTTTACCGTCCTTTGCGATTCGTTGTATTGTGTTGTTGAACATCTCTGTTATCTAAAGAGGTAAAAAAAGAGGTAAAACTTTCACGTTTGTCCATGAGTGTATCTTCGTTCCCAGCTAATAATCTCTTTTTTCTACACTCTTAACAAAATTGAATAAAATTTACTCAAGGTTGAGTCAAACAGAAGATGACACAACAAAAAGGTAATATTTACTTAATGTTGTGCAAAATTTGTCCAAGGTTGAATAGAATTTGTCCAAATGGTGGGTGAGTTTTGCACAACGTTGGAAAAGTTTTACCATTTTGTTGTTGTCGTCCTCTTTTTTACTCAGCCTTGAGTAAATTTTACGCATTTTTATTTAGAGTGTAATTTAATTCTAGTACAAACCTACGAGTATTCGACTAAAGTTTAATCATGTGTATTTCATATCGGAAGGCCCATTTCGTAGGATAAAATTGACCTTAGCGCTACACATTTACAACCAGCTGCAAATTATCGTGGCGCAAAGTTTGTCTGCGTAAAGTGTCTCTTCCCACATTCGTTGTTGGAATAGTTGTAACAAACACTTTGGGGCTAAGTTTATCCATTTTATTAGGCGCTAGATTACTTGATCATTTGGAAATCTATTCTTCCCTTTGGCCACTGCTTTTTCGATTCTGTTTACCATTGTTTTGGGTACGTTTGCCGGCTTTGTGCATAAGTAGTCGGCGAAATGCATAGTGAAATTTCGGAAGAATTGCTCAGTTAATTGTGGTAAGAATGAGAATATGCAGAGGACTGTTTTGATAAGAGTTATCAGATCGTGTACCCCTATGAAGATCAGATTCGGTAATAATTTTGTAGGAATTTCGACTCCGCTAGTTATCTTGAGTTTATGTGCGAAGTACACGGTTCGTGTGCTGTTAATGCAGTAGATTTGTCAAAGGCATTGGAATTGGCTGCTAATTTGTAAAGGTCCTTACAAAAACTAAATTGAATTAAGTTTTTAATTTCAATTATCACTAATGAGTCTTCTTTCCAAAAGCTAAAAATATTAAGTTAATAAAAATCCAAAATCTATTTACGAGTACAAATATATTTGTTTATTTAGACAGATACTTACTGTAGTTAGGTAATAAAATTATTCACCGATTGTAGAACTCTTTCATGAAAAACATTCAAAAATTAATAAATTAAAACGTCAAAATCAAAGAAATGTTTAAGATGTTGCTTCTTATTCTTTACTAAAGATATGCTACAATCATGTGCAACAAAACTGCCGCTGGGGTAGATCTTCTAATCCTCTAAATTGACACCCCTTGAAAGTTGTTCATTTTTGGTGTGAAAGACATGTTTGAGAGGATTCTCGCATCATTATGTCGATTTTTTTCATAATTCGCTAGGATATCCATTGAAGTGTTGAGCTAGTGCGAAGCAGCTAATAACGCCGCGGTAGATGAGCTGTAGTGCATCGCATTTTAGAAAATTGTATATGAATAAGAGATGATAATATAAGCTTTATTGAATTATCCTTCAAAGCTTCTTCGGGTCCATTAAGATACACTTAATGTATACAATTTAGTGTTGGGTTATGGAGAGTTCCTGTACAAATAATGTTAAGAGTGTGGATCAAATGTAAGCTCTAGAAACTTTAGTTTACAAAACTAGATTACATAATTAGTGACACGGTTAGTTTAAATATAGATTGAGTTTACAGTCTGTGCGTGACCAAATGTTTAAATATTTAGGTTTATGGAAGGACGTTCTTGAAAACCGCACGTGGGGAGATTTAGAAAAATACATGCTTATGTTGCATGGATACAAGCAATGCATTTACACTCTGAAATCAGACCTTCACTCGAAGTAAATATGTCAAATCTCCATAAGGGCATGTCATTCTCCACAATGAACTCGGATATTGCGTCCGCCGCTTCTTTGTTCAACTGCGATTAAAATGTCAAAAGTTGACAATATTTAGGAGCAAATTAATAAGTAAATCAGACTCACGTAAAGGTTAGAAATTGTGACCCGGTCCATTCCACTGATAATCTTGACTAATCGTTTGAAGAGACAAATCTCTTCCTCTGTTAACTTATAAGCCATGTGACACTGTTCGTCTTTGCCAACTTTTAACGTTTTGAGCCCTACAATTCAGGAAATTATCATACATAATACCGGGAGAAACTATGCATCCTGCAAAAAGAAGGGTTATGTAAGCTGGTGTTTGCAATAGAGGTGAGTCGGGTTACGGGTCAACCAGGTTAAACCAAAACCAGACCCCTCTGTATAGTTTGGATTGAACCAATATTGCATAAATACTGATTCATTTCATCTTCATGAAGAATGAATGAATAATATTATTCATTTTAGGCACTCCAGTGGAATCGGGTGGTAACGTTATATTCATAAAAAATAAAAATGAGTAAAATTATTCATTAGGAATGCATGAATAATTTTATTCATTATTTATTCTTCATCCCGATCGGGTCGGGTTTAATGTTTAGCGCAACACACCTCTACATGTTTGCAAACAAAAATTAATACAATTTTATCAAAAATTCTGCAACTCACCAGAGTCATACAATTCCCTGTTATCCACGAGAGGTTTTACAATATCCAGAAATTGTATTGGGATGGCACCGCCAAATTCAAATGTTTCAACTTCTCCCAACCAATACACGCTTTCAGAGCCAAGGGAAAAGTGACACGTGCCGGCCCCATGACGTTGGACCCAAAAAACCTCCTCAAATCAAGCTTTGGGTCATCCAGTAATTTTGGATCGTGAACTCCGGAAAGCGTTAAATTCTTTACGTTTTCCAAAATATTGTTCGTATCGTTAACTTTTTTAAAAAGTTCGTCCATTCGGGTCGACTCAATAAACGCTTTTCCCAACACGAGGGTTTCCAGGCCGGAAATATTTCCTTGTAGGAGATCCTCGCACGGAAAAATGTCGACGAACTCGTTCACAAATTTGCGTAATTTTATCATCCTGTTTGGTATCTGGAATCCTGAGTGGGTATTAATTTCCTCGTCGGTTCCTTTTATCCCGGAGGTGGAATCGAGACAGCTAAAATATAGGGAGATGAGTTGATCTCGAACTTGCGTTAACATGCGGGTGAGGTGAGAAAGGTAAGTCTTCGCGGAAGGGATGGTCTTTAGGTGCACGCCGTACAGTGTGATTGTGAGAGAGGTGATACCTGTTCATATTCATTCATTATTTGAAAAAGTCGTGAATATTGATTTTTTCAGAAGTTTGGACTCAACGAAAATTGAATAAATCTTTATTCCTATGATATTCATGAAGGAGGAATGAATAATCTGATTAATGTTTCAATTTCCACCTAATTCCTAATAAAGTTAGTATATTGAGATATCCATGCAATGAGTCGAATTTGAGATCAAATTAATAAAAATAAATTTTGAATAAATATTGAATTTTCAGGTTGTGAGTGAATGAATAATAAATGAATAATTATTTCCGATTTTTAAACGGAATGCATTTTGATTGAAGAATATTTTTTGAACAGGTACAAAAATATGCAAGAGTCCATACCTTTAGAATTAGCTAAATCCGGATAGAACCCCCAGGGAAGCGTGACCTCCCCTAAGTTTGGCGCAGAGTTAACAACCACTTGAGCAAGACTTGTGAGAAATGGGGTCACCATGTTTGAACTGAGTGAGAACGAGGTCAAATTAGGCTTTTGTTGGAGTGAGGATTCCAAAATTAGCTTATTTTCTGGGGTCAAATCCAAATCTGTGGATGTCTGAAATTTGCACGTGAGCCGATACTGTTTCAAAGCAGGGCCGCAATTTTTCACGACTTGATGTACGAATTTTAGACAGTTTTCGTACGCCAAGAAAATCTCTAAGGTTTGTATCCTGTCGCTAAATTTATCGCTGAAATGGAGCAGTTTATAAGCAAAGGAGTAAATGTGGCGGGGCTCGTCGGTGCACGTGGTGAAGGGACAAGTGGGGCTGATGTGTCGAGCAAGGCGGGCATCGAAGGTGGAAGTTGTCTCGAAAAATGGGACGAGGTCAGGATTGGGGGGAAGCGGGTCGTTCTGGGGGTGTAGATTTAAGGCGAGTTTAGTATTCGGAAGAGAGAGGACGGCACTATTCCAAAATTGAGAAACGAGTCGGGCATCTTTCAAGGGAATTGGGTTGTTGTTTAATATTTGGGTTAAAATCTGGAATGAAGGTTTCAAAAATTTTTAAAATATCTTCAAAAACCAGAGGTTTCAGTGGACGCTTGTAAACTTAATAACTCAATCTACTCTCCATTCCCACAAAGTCGAACTTTGACAGAAATTGAGAATTCTGAGAAACTATGGCACTGTAAATCTCAAAGTCCCCTGGCACCATACATTTGGGGAAAATGAGAATGACAATGCTATAGTTTCTCAGAATTGTCAATTTCTGTAAAAGTTCAACTTTGTGCGAATTGAGAGTAGATCAAATATTTAAGGTGAGTGGGTAGGTATCCAAAAAATAAAAAAAAATCTCAAGTTTACGAACGTCCCCTTGTTAATATTAATTTTTTAATTATTTGTAATCAGTGGAAAATAAATACGATCGGATTGTTGAATGCGAGCTCTTGCGGGTTGATGATTTCTTGCTGAAATTCCATTGAGCCGAGGATTTGTCGTGAAAAGGAAGAGAAAGTTGTATTTTGAAAGCTAAGAATATTTTTAAAAAATATTCACATTAAACAAATAATTTTGAATATGAAGTAAACAAAGAAAAAAAGGCGGTGCACTGCAAAAATTCAATATTATAACAACAAATATGTACTTAATCCATTTTACCGTTCAAATTAATAAACGTAACGATTAAAGGAGTTTTGATCAAATACGTTGAGATTTCTAATTAATTGTTCAGTTAATGTTAACATAATTTAAATTATTAAACGGAAATGTAAACGTTTGTATTGTTTTTTTCTGATTTTATTGAGAACACTTGTTGCCTCAGAATCACATCATATGATTAAAATGTGGGTTACATTTATGGAGAGGATTGGACTTTTGTTTGCATAAGCGTAGGGCCTGTGCAGTCAGGATGTCATGCATTCTTAGGAGCGTTGGGGTCAATGCTTCCCGTGGTAATTATGACATGTGGAATAAGTAAAGGTCACACAAAGATGGGAAGGGTCAAAATTCGAAAATTGACCACATGCTTAACGTATGTACCTCCCCTTTTATTTCAGAACGTGCAGAAGGGACGTGATTCGAAGAAGGGAGCAGACAAGATATCCTTTAATCGGGATTTAAATAAATGGTAATTAAACCACCACGTGTTTGAGAGGTAGGATTTATGCGAAATAAGCAACATTAGTTACGCTAGGTCCCTTTACGTTCGGCTTCGTGTTATAAATAAGTTATGATTCACTACGTAAATATATCTTTGTTCATGAAAATTGTGGATTTGTTGGTTTTGTGACGTATATTTATGAAATTTGGAATATTCCGTTATTAAGTATTATTTGTAAATTAAGTATTTAAATTAGGGTAATCAATTACGTAACGCGAGAGGGGGGAGTAAGGCACAGGGTCCAGCCTGGCTCTTTTGTTGAGCAAGCCAGAAATTTATATTAGACAATATCCACGGAAATTTGCTAAGTACATTAATTATCCTTCTTGGAAATCTGTTTGAAATAATTTCACCCTTTTGAAAAATAAATTGAGTCTGAATTAAAGGAAAATGTACATAAATCCAAAGTAATGTAAACTTGATAAGCATAAAGTTAACTCTGGATTCAGTGTACATAGTTTCAGACTGCATTTTTCTTTAGCCACTGCTTTCTCAACCATGTTTACCATTGTTTTGGGCACGTTTGCCGGCTTTGTGCAAAAATGGTTGACGAAATCTATATCCAAATTTCGGAAGAATTATTCAGTTAATTGTGGGAATAATGGTGGGAAAATGCAGAGGACTATTTTGATAAGGGTTATCAGGTCGTGTTCCCCGATGAAGATTAGTTTCGAGAATAATTTGAAAGCAATTTCAACACACTTATCAAGTAATATTGGGTTTGTGCACAAAACAAAGTACACGGCTCGGTTGTTGCTAATGCAGTAGATTTGGAATTTATTACAAATTCATACTGCCCTTCCCATTTTGGTTTATCCACTACTTCCGGCCACGGCTGGATTTGCGTTGGCGTTCCAATTTACCCTGCTCCCACAGGCGGCGGAAGGGTACGAAAAGTCGGTGGATTTCGTGGCATTTGCGAGAAAGATGTGCACCGTCAAGTTTGAGAGGAAGGTGGCTAGATCTTTGAGACCGATTGGAGCGAGATGCGGTCCGTTCGGGATGATCTCGAATAAATGGACGGTGAAAGTGGCGAATGCAGTGACAGATTCGACGGTTACGTTGCTGCTGACGTTTTAATGTGTATATTTTATTGAAGATGCTTAAAGTCTTAATCAATGTTCAGATTTCTAATTAAATTGTGGAGAAATTTCAATAAATTAACAGAAACTCAAAAATGTGTACACTCTACATGGGAAATTTTACCACCCGATTAATGTACATGTGTGACTTTACCAGATGGAGTAGTGTCACCGCTTGGTTACAGCCCAATCGAATTGTATTTATATCACCATGCAGAAGCATACTACCACCAAAACCCCACTCATTACAATACCGTATGGTAAATGAAACCGCAATCTTGTACATAGTTAGAAAAATTTAGCAACCCTTTAGTCACAGAAATACTTGTTTAGGAAATTTATTTATTTAATCAATTTGACGAGAAGACGATCCAACCGGTTAAGAATTCTGTCACAAGATAATATAATATTTTATGGATAATATTGGATAATATTTCATTTCGACTGGTTGGACCAATACTTTTATCAATTAGTGTTGAGCTGATACATAAAATTATAATATCATTGCAACAAAGGTAATTTGCACATTTCAATTTTTGCGTCCAAATATTCACATGAAATGGAATTGAAGACAGACATTTTCTGTTGGCATGGTCATGCATCTACCAGCACCTTCCAAAGCCACGCTTTCCTCCGCAGCACTTTTTGAAGGGGCCATTCTTTCCTTTGAGGATGCCCTCGCAGTTTCCGTTGCTCCCGTTAAATTCGCCTGTGCAACAAACAGCCGTATCGTCCCACTCATTGCAGACGCAGGCAAGACAGTTGGACGCCCCGTTGTTGCAGGCTCGCCCGGCCGTGGCGCAGGTGAAGAAGAGCGAAAGCGTGAGAACCATGGCGAAAAAGATGATCTGCTTAGACATTGTCATGGTGACTGAAAAATTAGCAAAGTTGGACGTTGAGAAATAAGATGTGCAAAAGTAAATATTACGACAAGGACAAATCGCTTAATTTTAGGGAATGGTTTGGAATATGTCACTCTTAAAAATAACGTTACCCTTTTGAAAAATAAAATAACTCTTGTTAAAATGTATGTATACTGTCGTGTACAGGGTGCATTTACTTTTCAAAAGGGTGATATTGTTTTGAAGTGTGTGGCGAATTAGTACCACCTGTGGTATACGGGAAGTTGTTTATCTTTGACAAAATTTCAGTATTTTTTAGTTCCCAAGGGTGAAAATTCGATAATACATAAAGATAAGTAATCATGTACTTCTTACCAAGTTTCTGAAAGTTTAATTGCGGTGGTATATGTAGTGTTATCCCGTGATTGGTTTTTCTTGTGTTGAGGAAAGGTTTTTGCGAGCTCTATTTATTCACCGTTAATTGCCTCATTGTCCTTGAAATTATGGGGAAAGCGTGCCAGATAATGGACCAACTTGGCTAGGAAAGCAATTAAATAGTTCCCGATGACCCGTGTTGCCGATTAAGTGACCGCGAACGATGCTGGACTTTACGAGGTGTGGTGTCGTTCTGCTGGAGAAATTTATTAATGAAGGAAAATAACGAACATTAATTGGTCAGGGATTCAATTAGTGGTCTAAATCATGATAGATTCTCGCCTGTTGCAAATTACTTTTATATAACATAAAATCTGGTTTTAGCAGTTTCGTAACGAGATTAATTGTCTTTAACCAATCATCATGTGTCGTAATATGAATGTGCATACATACCATTAAATGCTGACAACTTTTTATCAATAGCATTGCTTGGAAAATATTGCGACTAATTTGACACCCTTGACCCGGTTTTATTTTGATGGAAAAAATTGCAAAATTTGCACACGTGTAATATACACAGGGTGGTTTCAATTTCACACTACAATAGAAAATTTTTCAATAGGAAGCCCCCTAAACCTGCATAAACCAATTGTAGGAAAATTGATGAGAATATGCTCCAGTAAGAGTTGCAGATACATAAATGCGTTATTGATCTAATAAACAAAGCAATTGGATAAAAATATTTCTTGGAAAATGCTACATAAATACAACTGTATGTAGGTATTAGGGTTGCCGCGGGTAACGGGTCGGGTACCCGTTTCCCGCACGATTTTTGCGGGCACCCGTTACCTGAGGGTAGCTGGAACTACCCGCACGAGTACGGGTAGTTCAGCTTTTATTCAATTTGGCCATAAATTGGCTGACAAACGAAGTTAGAAGCTCATTCAGGTCTTACATTTACAGAAGTATGATTTTATTATTTATCCACTTCAAAGTTTGGCATTTGCCAGCAACATTTATAGTGAGCCTGTGATTTCGGAACCCACAGAAGCCCACGGTAGCGACAAATACTTTTTAGGTCCAGAAAATACGCAGAAAAGATTTTCTCACAATTTATCTGCTCTAAAATATATTTACTAATTTGAATCGTTTTTTGTTGTAGTTATGCGAAATTGACGATATTTAATTTGTGCAGGTGGAAAACATCAATCAGGTTGAATTTAAAAACATTTTATTTGTAGACGATCATAAAATTACATTAACAATGGAACATTTTATCCAGCCACATTGGGAGCGAGTTATACCAAAATGTCAAATCAAAAATTTGGGATTACGTATCGTTACATTGATTGGCCACTTTGAAGAGAAATATCGGCGTCGAACTTCAATTTTAAGTGAATTTTCCCCGTCTTTTTCTTCCACTGGACGAAAACTAGGGTGGACTTTGAACCAAATAGTTTTCTTCGAAAAGATCATTCAACGGTAAGATAAGTGTCAATTTCTAATTTTTGGCTTGGAACATTCATATAATTCGTTAAAAAATCCGGCGTAGATTGAAAAACGTTGCATTGCAAGCCAAAAAGTTTGGTACCAGAGACAACTTATGACATCCACATAGCAAATTATGGCATCAGTTACTTGCATAGCATTATCTCGAACTATATATCAACCCAAATGAGCAAATAATTGATTAAATCAAAGTTATTTTGAAGGTTAGTTTATTTTAGGGTTGCCCCGGGTACCGGGTAGTTACCCGGTACCCGGCATACCCGGCCTGTTTTGGGATACCCGGTACCCGGCCGGGTAGACTTTACTACCCGGTCTACCCGGCCGGGTAATTTAAATGTTCAATTTTTTGCAAAACCTTACAAAAAAATTATAATCCGATGAATTTCATTTTTCTCCTTGGTGTAAAATAATATATTTTGGAAAAATGCGTACAAACTAGGTCAATTCTTAGGTGGAAATTATTATCCAGATATTAACGCACTCACGTCAACCCTTGCATACATATCTCCCAATTAACCATGGCCACATAAGTGGCGATTTTTTGCGAAATTTGAGACATTTCTCAAAGCTTTCGCTAGAAAACCATTGGTTTTGCAAATTTGTCCAGCAATTAGGCATATCATAATTTAGCAAACTCATCCTCCCGATTATCAGCGAAAAAAAGTTAAAAAATCCATGAAAACAAGATCAAAATAAGCGTCTTTAATAGATCTGCGAGAATTTCAAGGTGATATTTTGCGACTCCCCTCAAGCTGCACAAGTTTGCTAAATGGGTGGAGATGATTAATAAGACATTGTCGTGAGTACGCGCAATCTGTACTTTATGTTTGTTTTTAACTTGCAACTTTTTAAAACTGGTAAAAGTGTTACAAATTCTAGAGAAAAGTGGAAAGACTCCTTTTATTTTTAATATATAAATATTACCCGGTACCCGGCCGGGTAGCCGGGTACCCGCCGAACATTTTAGGCCGGGTACCGGGTAGTAGCACTACCCGGGGCAACCCTATTATTTTTAAATTAATTCTCATAACGGGTACCCGTGAGGGTACGGGTCGCTGTGCTTCGCGTAGCGGGTCGGGTTACGGGTAGACTTTTCGCCACCCGCGGCAACGCTAAATAGGTAAATAGCCTGGAAGAAATGTTGTATTGCATCCCAAAGTCTGTATGTTCGGAATGACGATCAAAATAGTGTTAGTCTCTAGGCGCAAAAATCTCGTTAACGGACCGGCGCCAAGAGTTCAGTAGTTATATAAAATTCAGATGTGCCGTTGCATTCTCATCCAAGTATCCCACAAACCATGATGTTAATCCTTCACATCGAGACGTGAACCCGAACCCTCAATATTAAAATCATGCTCCAGAATGTTAAACATAATTTATGTTACATAAATGTTTGATTCAAATTAAAGTTCAAGACGCAAAAAATGCAACCAAATATGAAAAAAAATAATCCTTACCATTTCCAGCCCGTAACCGGACATAAATATGTATGTAGATCAAATTGTGTGATTATGCATACATACATCTCAGAGGTCGACGCCGCCGATCTCACGCCGCCGCGCCGCCATACGCCGATGCATTTTACGCGCCGCCGCCGAAAAATTGTACTTCCTATTCCTCTAACATTGCGACGCCGCGCCGCGCCGCCGACGCCGCCGAAAAATCACCAAAAACTGGCGCAGCCGCCGCCGAAAATTTGTCGGCGTTGACCTCTGACACATATATGGCAATTAACATTTGGTTGGTATAACGGTGCCCACTATAAGGAATGACAAATTCTAAATAGAGTCAAAGTAATTTTGTCTACAGACAGTAGATGTTTATGAGCAGACAATTACATGTAAGAAAGATCGATACTAAATATTTGCACACATATATTTTTTGTATTTGTAGCAAAAAAAATCTTTCCTGCATTCTTGCAAATTTATCTTTGTATAAAATGTGATACGATAAATGTCCGGTGGCAATCTTGTGTGTACAAGTGTAAAGTGGATTTCCTGGTTGGATGAACCATCCTACATATTTACATTTTGGTGATAAATGTATTGATTAAATACCGGTCATTCTGACAGATTTAGATTATTGACAAATTTGTCTGGCCTACAAATTCAAATGCATACCTGTGTAGGTATGTAAATAGATAAATACACAGTTTAAGCATACTTACATATTCAGTTTAGGGGCGATGCTATTTTTTTATCCTGCTTGTACGAATATTGTCAGACAGGGATTAGCTTGTGAATATCATTCCTGATAAGATACGGATTCCTGGGTAACGGCGACTACATGTCAGTGACCAGTTCTATTAACACTCCAGCTTCCTTCATTGCCAGTAAGATACGACACATAAATTATCCTCACTATATAACCATTCTTCAAGCCAGGCTTGGGATTTTCGAAATCGAACCAAAAACTATCTATCGCATGGGGCTTATCGTTAGTCTGAATGGTCCCTTTCAAGGCAACTACAGAGCGTCGCTTTTTTATCTGATAAAGAATTTGGCCTTGAATAACCCCGGAACGGTTTGTCGTAGCGGGTCAAAATTTTGAACATAGGAGCATGTTATCCTCAGGGTGGTGTGTGCAGTATTTCGTTTCTTGCGGGTTTTTCTCATTTTTTGCACTGCAAAGCAAGAAATGCAAGAAATGCAAGGTGCAAGAAATGCAAGAAAGTGCAAGAAACACGGCGCCCTCTAGCGACGCGCCTACACAACTATGGCGGCGGGAAGGAGTTTCTTGCACTTTGCATTTCTTGCGGGTCAAAATAGCTGCAAGAAACCAATTTCTTGCGGTTGTTTCTTGCAGGTGGTTACTTGCACCCGAAACACTGGGTGTGTGCAAAAATTTAACTCTCTACTTTCAAAAATGCCTCCCCCACAGCCCCCAGAACTTGAAACACTCATTTTTACTCTTTCCAAACTCCGTCTAAAAAATTCGGTCTCCGCAGAAAAAATTTTCTTTTCAAGTATCCGACCCCAAATAAGTCCATTTGACTTATATCGGGGGACTATACAGGTATTTCACTATTCGAAATGATTTTTATCCCCAATATAGCTTCAAGGACCTTTGCATTATCTGGGGTCAACTTTGCCGTCTGGGAAGACGCTCCGTCATGATGAAAAATTACCTTAATTATTTTTTTACCGTGCAATTTAGTAAAATTTTATTCTAAAAGTGGTTTCAATACCCGGTCCACATAATACTTCAAAGATTCCTTCACTTTTTGGGGGACTTGATAAGTGGGAGGACACCACGACCCGACATTGCACCCACGACCATAAACTTGTTACAAAAGTTCTCCTCACGGGCAAGCACCAACTTGCGTGAATTGTTTTCGGCATTTGTCGTGTAGTAAGCTCTTGGAACCCAATTAGTAATTTGTAGAGAAATTAGTGCTTCGTCAAATGTCACCAAAATCTTACTCTTATTCCTTGACAGAAAATTTGAATAAATTTTTTTGCAAAGGCGGGCGCGATTTTTTTCTTGTTTTTCGGTCAGCTGATGCACACGAGGTTTCCGACGAAGTCGTGTTTTCAAAATCTTAATTTCTCATTTCACTCAACGCTTAGACACCCCAACCTTAAGGGAAATTTCCTTTTGGGTCGGTCGATTGTCTTTGGAGGTCAATAGGTAAATTTTCCTAAGCACAGTCGGAATTAACACTTTTTTGCCTTCTTAGAGGAGGTGGTGGTTGCCCTTAGCTCAAAATTTCTCGCTTTTCACCTATATTTTTAAATACCTTATTGATTCTAGATTTCGCAAATGTTTTTCCTTCACTTTTAAGATGTTTTGTTTTTAGGCTAGACGGGTACTTAAGTTTGCAACGAGTTTTTATGACTGCCTCACCTTCTGGGGGCTGTGGGGGAGGCATTTTTGAAAGTAGAGAGTTGAAATTTGGCACACAACTACCAGAGGATAACATGATCCTCTGTTCAAAATTTTGACCCGCTACGACAAACCGTTCCGGGGTTATTCAAGGTCAAATTCTTTATCAGATAAAAAAGCGACGCTCTGTATTGGGGGCTAATTTCCGCCTTTGTTTTCACCCCATAGAGAAAAAACGGAGAGCAATTTACTAAAAAAATTGCACCACAACCCAAATATTTTTCTGTTCCATATGATTCCTAATTTTTGGCTCGACGTTTTTATGTAAACCTCACTGAAAAATCCCAGCGTGGCTTGAAAAAAGGTTCGATTGTGAGATTATGTTATAGAATTTAAATACGTTTAAACAGAGTAAAGAATAAATATATGTATATATATATATATTTATATTACATTTTTAAGTATTCAAGTAGCGTAGCGTCTCATAAAATGGACATGAATGCTGTAAAAGTAGAACCTGAAACGTCCCGGGATCCTCGATTCAAAAATCTTTTGACCATTAATCAAAAGAGCTTAGCGAGTTGGACCGTGTTTAAATTTTTTAAAAAGTCAGAAATTATTGAAAATATTGAGCGAGCCTATGTTATGGGACCTCTATCGGCAATTATAGTAACGAAGAAAGATGAGGTTTTTTTGCTGCAACCAACCGAAACATCTAACATGAAATCTACTGAAGGAAATAATATTCTCGCTAAAAAGCTGGGACCACTATGTGGTAAAAATATTGTGGGTAAGGCAGATTTTTTACTCACTGTGTTCTTTTCCTGCGGGTTAATATGTATGAATGATTCAATTTGACCTAGAACTTTACTCACACGAATGTAACTACTTTGCGGCGTTAACTAAATCTGGCACCCTGTATGTGTGGGGATCTAATATACCCGGTGGTTGTATTGAAGAATGTGTAAGTGACGAGATCGATGTTGATGAAGACGATGACGAAAATGACGGAGACGACAGTTTGGACGAAGACTACGATGGTGACCAAGAAAACCAAGAGGGCAGCGACCAGGAAGACCAAGACGACCAAGACGACCAAGAAGAGCAAGACGACCAAGACGACCAAGGAGTCCAAGAGGATCTTGACGCCCAAGGTGTCCAAGAACAAGACAGTAACAGCGAGATTGAACAATTTGACGTAAGGGGATTGGAATCAATAAGGATAACTAGTGTCGCTTGTTGTAAGGACTTTATTTTCGCCATGTCCGATAAAAAAATGGTTTACATATCTGGCGAGTTGTCTTTACAAATAAACAACACCCCTTTCGAGTACAAGAGCAAAATTTTTATGCCCGCCACATTATTCGATTGGATGACTGTTGACGGAATATCTGCGGGGTATAATTGTTTCGCCGCATTTTCAAAGGGAGGACAGGTGAGTATGAAAATTTGAAGTCAATAGTTTTTATACATATCCGCACATAAAATTAGTAACAACGACTATCTAGCTAGTAGAATTATTTATTATGATGCAATACAATTTTGGTTGTGATTTTACCAACTGGTAGCACTGTTTTTTTGGAAATATACGTCTTTTCGTGCAGCGTGATCCGATAGCGGTTGTTGAAATTAGGTTTTATAGTAAATTTAACAAATCGAACCAACATGATGGAACGTAATGTGTTGTAATTCCGGTAGATGATGATTTGTAAATACGTACTTTATTTTGAGCGTAAATGTGATTGTTGTTAGGCCACATAACTGTACAGGTCTCTTAAGAATTGCGACAAATTTTTACAAATATTTTCACCTTAGTCCGGTTGATTTTGTTTAAAGATATTGAGTCTTCATTATTTGAAAGGTTACTTCATGGAGGTCAACCCGCACGAGTACGGGATACCGAATACGAATACCTCATAGTCTTAAAAAGGCAAGTAACACACACTGTCTTCAAGTGAATGCTCTCCGATTCAGACCAAACCAGTGTCAATCGATTCCATATTTTATTAATATGGACTTTGAAATTGACACTACATGAAAATTCTAAGATTTGGCCGAGATATTTGTATCCAAAGAGGAGAAAATGCGCTCAAAAGTTAACGAATTTTATACCATCCACATTTACTCACAATGGAGGCGCAAACCATGTTCAGTCCAGATAATGTTTTCACCATGTTAGTTTGGAAGAGCAAGTCTCTAGAAACAACATTTGGTTCACCACTTGCGCAGATGCGCAAAATTCCGCACGTTATGGGCGCCACAAGTTCGCAAAAACGCATGATTTTTGATGCAAGGTCCAGCGCGTCACTCTCGACCACTTTTTGCGAACTTGTGGCGCCCATAACTTGCTGAATTTTGCGCATCTGCTCATGTGGTGAACCAAATGTTGTTTCTAGAGACTTACTCTTCCAAACTAACATGGTCAAAAAATAATCTGGGCTGAACATGGTTTGCACCTCCATTGTCAGTGTTTTCTAGTCTTCGGATGAAAATATCTCTGCCAAACCTGAGCATTTGGATACCGTGCCTTTTGCAAATTTCACATTAACTAAATTATCGATCGATTGACAGTAATGTAGCCAAAATCGTAGAGTACAGGGTGCCCCATTTATTTGTGTGAAAGTTTGAGACATCCATGCTCAGTGGTGGGTAAATAAAATTCAAACCTGTCGCCAAAATCGGGTAGAGCAACTCAAAAAATAGTTTTATGAAATTTTTTGTAACCTTATTTTAAAAAATGCCCTCACCGTGCTCACTTGAAGCAGAGGTACAAGTGAAATACTTTTCCAGCCGATTTTCCACAGGAATCGTTATGAAACAGAGCTTAAATTATATTGTAATGAACTAAATGTGCAGTTAATTTATAAAATAGTGCATGGTAGACTTATTCAAACTCAATCCAATAGTCTGACATCATTATCACCTTCGAGAAACTACCTACTGCTGAACGCCCCAAAAATCTGAAAATTTGGTTTATTTGACTTAACCAGCCACCAAAATCCTTTATCCCACTGCAGCACGGTCTAACCGTTAGATTACAATAAATAACTATCCAGTAGGGTTGCCGCGGGTAACGGGTCGGGTACCCGTTACCCGCATACCCGCACAATTCTTGCGGGTACCCGTTATCTGCGGGTAGCGAAAGCTACCCGCACGGGTAACGGGTAGTTCAGTTTTTGTTTAATTTTCGACATAAATCAGTTCACATAGAATGTCAACAGCAGGTTAGCCCATTTACCAACAAAAGCGCCAATTTATTATATATCCATTTCAAAATTTGCCGTTTTCCAGCAACTAGGGTTTATAGCGTGTGTGTCTTTTCGGAATCTACAGTAGCCTACTTCAGTCTCAAATGCTTTTCACGTCCCGAGAATACGAAGAAATTATTGTTTCTCAAGCATAATTTGCCTGCTCTAAAATATGAGTAACAATTTGACTTGTATGTATTTATGTAAGACTAACGATATTTTAATTTATATCTACCTTGAAAGTGAAAAACTTGAATCCGATTGGCGATTGGAAGCAAAAATGTTATTTATAGACAATTTTGTAATTAAAACTTCATTTAAATCTAAACTTAAAAAAATCAAACTATATGTAGATTGAACCTTTTTTCAAGCTATACCAAGATTGTCTAGCGAGTATATTAAAAAGTTAAAGCCAAAAATTAAGAATCGCGTGATACTTTCCGTTGAATGTCCACTTTAAAGAAAAATATTGGCGGCAAAGTTCTATCTGTAAGTAAATGTTCAGCAACTTTTTCCTCCACTGGACGAAAACCATGGTGGTCCTTGAACCATGCCCCCAATAGCTGTCTTTAAACGGGCTATTTAAGGGAAAGATCAGCGATAATTCCTAATTTTTGGCTTGATTTTCTGATATAATTCGTTAAGAAATCCCGATGTAGTTTGAAAAACGTTCCATTGCAAGTCAAAAAGTTTGGTTTCAGAACAACTAGTGACATTCCCGTAGCAAATTATGGCATGCGATACTTGCGTACTATTATCTCAAACTATATATCAACCCAAGTGAGCAAATAATTAATTAAATCGAATTTATTCTCAAGGTTGGTTAGCTTTTAACTTAATTCTCATAACTGGTAGCGGGTAACGGGTACCCGTGCGGGTACGGGTAGTTGTGCTGCGGGTAGCGGGTCGGGTAACGGGCAGCATTTTCGCTACCCGCGGCAACCCTACTATCCAGGGAACCATTAAAATTGATTTAGGAAATATTATAACAAAAATGACAAAAGTAGGTCGACCCATTTAGAAAAAAACAAACTTTTTTCCGCTTTCTGCGGAGGAATCTCAGCAGTGCGCAAAAACGGATGACGGTGATTTTGGTCCTGCAGTCCTAAAAACCTACTCCAAGCAACTTTGCGGGGCCTTTTAAGATGGCATTAATGCCATCTTGGTAGTTAAGGGCAGGGCCCTTACGAGGGGCTGCCAGGTGGGGGTTTTTCCCAGGGCCGGGCCCCGAAGGGGGCCGGGCCCTGGTGTCCATCAAAAAAATTGCACAGGCGATTATTTAAGTGTTTAGAAGATTTTGAGCAGTGGCGTAGCGTGCTAATGTTGAACCTAAAATAAACAATAACTGAGAACAAAAAATATAAATTTATGCGCATATCAGTATCAAAATGGTTAAATAACAATTGCGTCAATTTGTGCACTAGATCATGTAAAATGTTTTGCGAAATATACATCTATCGATACATTCTGTTTCATTTGAAATTTTTCGTGTATATGTTTCATACCACTTCCATACTACTACAGGAAAACCCGAGCTGGCTCGGCCCAGCTGGTTAACTTTGGAGCTCGAGCCAAGCAAATACTTTAGTCCGGTTTGAGATAATTCAGCTCGACTCGGTTATTATCGAGCCGAGTCCAGCACACCAAAAGCTCTCTTGGCCCTGCTAGTTAAGAGCACTGATTTCAAGGCCTCATAATTTCTGTCCAAACCTCAGATCGTGAACCTAAAGCCATGGCGCGATCGGCCTTGACCTTACCGAAGCCTTTGGTTAACGATTAGTTTTAAAGATTTTCATTTTCAAAATAATAGTCGACCTCATGTCTTACTGAGGTCGACCTCAAAATCCTAAAACAGGCAGAGGCCTGAGGCCATCCTTCACTGTTCAGGCATATTGTGGGCTATTATGTAGGCTATTTCATTTTTACACGAGTGGCAACAATGGATAATTATGTATGCATGTATTTTTTAGCTGTAAAAATATTCAGACTGCAGTTGATTTTAAAATGAATAAAAATAGTTTTTCAGTAACCAACACCAAACATAAAACCTAAACATTGACACTAATATACCTATCCTAAGTGCGCATCGATAGTTAACACACTAAGCAAACACCTGAAAAAATTGTGTGTGCTTCCTACTTAGGAAGCCTAAGTAATTTGTGTAAAAAAGTAGTTAGAAGTTTGTATGTTAACAATTGCACATGTTGTCATTTTCCATCTTTTCATTTACTCTGCACAGTATAACCAAAATTTTTTTGAGACGCTTCTCAACTTTCCCAATCCGACAAACTTATTGCGGGAATTTATTGCCAGGTTTCTTTTCACCATCAAAATCCAAGCTTAAATTTGTTACAATTAAATTTCACAAATTCTATCGTTACTACTATCCCGCAATGACGAGGAAACATAAACTGGATAACCAGAAACCGATTAGTGATGTGTCGAAAGAACCCTCCGGAGCTCAAAAACGTAAGAAACAGAAAGAAATAGAAGATAAGTCACCTACACAGCCTCATTCGGATATCTCAGTGGTAAGTTGTGACACTTTCTGAACGATTATTTATTGTAAATATTGTGGTAAAATTCATTAAAATTAGAATCGCTAAATTGAAAATTAATGAAATTATTAAGCAGACGGATTCGCCGGCAACAACTTCAACATCATTGCAAATTTCTGTAGACGATGTACGTTCGGATGGTTCACGTAATCAGGAAGCAATCGTGTCTGCTCAGGTTCTGAACTTTAAAAAAATTATGCCAAGCTCATTTTTTATTGAGCAAAATTAAGTTGGCATCAAAGCTGACCAATAAATAATACTGTTCAAATGTATTTAATGTAGATTGATTTGGAAGCGTCTTCTCTACCCGTTAAAATTCCTAATGAAAATATTGAAAATAAAGAATTTCTGGCGACCTCCGAAGTCGAAATGGATGCTGATGACGACGCTGCAATTTCATTGTTTGATCCGAGTAGTTGGCCCCAAATCCTGAACGAGGAAAATCGGAACAGAATCTTGCAGTCAGTGCCAAATTTTGAGTCTACCTTTACTTTCGTCCCAGTTAACGGTCACAAATTTTCGGGAAGATATTTTACTGGATCAAAGAAGAATGGCGAATCATATTTTCGTGATTGGCTGAGATTCAGCAAGATTTCTAATAGCGCATTTTGTCTTCCATGTTGCTTTTTCTCCTCCAAATCTGGAAACAAATCACCATGGAGTAATTGGGGGGTTGGAAATATCGGTTTCCAGGATTTAAAACACGCGAAGCGGGGAGTTGAAGACCACGAGGACAGCCTTAGCCATTTCGACGCGACGCGGACATGGAAATGTTTCCTAAAAAATGTCAAGGATCCCACATCGCTAACAGGCACTTGTGTGAAAACCTATGATGAAAACATCAATCATTGGAGATTGGTTTTGCGTGAAATAGTAGACGCCGTACTATTCTTAGGTGGGTAGTCCTCTATCATTATATTTTACGTCCTAATAATTGATCCTAATATTTTTTTAGCCAAGAATAATTTGGCCTTCCAAGGTGGAAGTCAAAAAATAACCGATCCAAATTGTGGAAATTTTCTGAACCTCATCAAGCTGCTTTCGAAGTATTATGCCCCCTTGGCCGCCCACGTCGATCACTTACAAGAAAACAGCCCAAGTTATCTTAGTGCCATCTCCCAAAATGAATTTATTTTGCTGTGGCCAAAGAATTCGAACAAAACTTGTCAATGACATTAAGGAACGAAAATATTTTTCAATTTTATTCGACAGCACTCCGGATTCCTCTCGACAAGATCAAATTTCTCAAGTTATTCGCACAGTGGAATGCAAAGAAATGGGTTGCCGAGTTGTTGAAAGTTTTATAGACTTTATCACTACGACCAATAAAACCGGGCTTGGACTCTCTAAAGTCATCCAGGAGAAGCTGGAAATGGATGGATTGGACTTGATGGATTGCAGAGGACAAGGCTACGACAATGGAGCAAACATGGCGGGCATCTATTCTGGAGTCCAAGCAAGAATTTTGGAAATAAATGACAAGGCAAAATTTTTACCATGTGCGGCACATAGCCTGAACTTGGTGGGGGTTAATGCAGCGGAGAAAGTTCCTCCCGCAAAGCTGATTCTTGGCGACGTCCAAAATATTTACTTATTTTTTTCCGGATCAACATCAAGATGGGATGTTCTTCAATCCATAGTCAAGCTAACCCTGAAATATCAAAGTAACACAAGATGGTCATCAAAAACCGCCGCCGTCTCTGCATTATATGACCAGTACCCAGAAATCGTTGACGCCCTTACCGAAATTTCAACCTCAGAGTCTTTCACTTCGGATGTGAATGCCAATGCCCTTAGCAGATTGCGGGACATGCTAAACTATAAATTTTTACTTGGAATCACTATTTGGAACCAGATTTTGTTCCAAATAAACATCTGTAATCTCAACCTGCAAGATAAAACAATTGATGTGAGTATAGCCAAGAAGAAATTAAATGTCCTCAAAACTTGGTTGGAGAATTTCAAGGAAACCGGATTTCAGTCATCCGAAGTCTTGGCGCAACAAATTGCCGAAAACATGGGAATAGAGATGTCAAGTGGATTTGAAAATATTCGTCAGGGAAGAGGGATAAATCCACGTTATATGGACCGTTCGGATGCTCTGGTTGCGCAAAAGCAAACCAACTATGAACGATTTGAAGCCGATTTTTTTGACAAATTAATGGAGAAGCTCATTTCCGAAATCTCCCGCAGATTCGACGCCTTTAAGAAGTGCACGGAGACTTTTGAATTTTTGTGGGGTGGAAACCCTAAAGAGATGGAAATTCAAGAGAAACAAAAATGCATGCAGGATTTGTGTCATGAATATCCTTCCGATTTTTCCGGTCCTACATTGTTAAATGAAGTTCAGAGTCTGGAGACCACCATATCTGCATTTAACGAAACTGGCAGAGACCTTGCTCAATTGGGACCCATGGATGTCCTTAACATTCTTTACGCCAATGGCTTAGCGTCTGCCTACCCAAACTGCGAGACAGCACTTAGGATATTTCTGACTCTGCCGTCTCTGTTGCGTCAAATGAGAGGTCGTTTTCGAAGATGAAAATAGTCAAGAATTACCTAAGGTCGACAATGGGTCAGGAGAGGCTTAACGCCCTTGCGTTAATTTCTATTGGAAGAGAGGTTGCAGATGATATTGACTTCGATGAGGTGATTAATGATTTCGCCTCCCAAAAATGTCGCAAAATTAAGATTGTATAACCTTGAAGTACGAGATAGAGTGGTCGAAGTAGTAAATATTCTTTAATAAAGTCATACCTTTACTAATTTGGACGTCATTAATAAGCTTATCATCATATTGATCTGATTTAGCACACAAGTTTAGAATTAGAATGTTATGCATAAACTCATAGTAAATTATTAAATGGGGCCGGGCCAGGAAAAGTTCCCAGGGCCGGGCCAGGCAAGTTTGGGCACTGGTTAAGGGCAACACATTTGGGTGGAAAAGACCCCCACCGGCCAACCACTTGACCGATCATGCCCATCTTCAAACTCATCCTTACTTTTTACCCGAAGAAAAAGCATGCAAAACTTCAGGTCGATAGCTTTTGTTTAAAGAGAGTTATCGTGCCTACAGACAGACAGACGGACGGACAGACAGACATCTTGACAAATCTATAAGGCCATCTTAAAAGGCCTAAAAATCAAGAAGTCCCTTGTAAGTCATCCGACGTTGACCAATTATTATTTTTAGGATTTTTCATCATGATACGGCAACTTTTATCCCGAAGAATTTACGATTTTTGACGCATTTTGGAACGCTTAAAATAATTCGTCAACGAAAGACACCCTAGAAAACTGCCTGGAAGTAATTTTATCGGGTAAAAAGCGATGCATTGTTAAAGTTAAGAACATGAGTCGTCATGTTGAGCAATTTTTCCATTTAAAAAAGGTCTGGTTGTAGGTTAGAAAAATTGTCGAATTTGCACACAAATAAATGGGGCAACCTCTGTATAAGCTGGGAGCATACACTGCTGATGTTGTAGCAATGTTATTGCTTAATAACCACACCATCCAAAATCTTGCCCTTTATTATATGCGTTTCATACTTTCTATACGTTCTTATCTGTTTTTTTTAAAAATAGGTCATATGTGGGCGGTTACATTTCATTGCGTTGTGTGAAAATGGAGACTTGTATGTTTGGGGGAACAATTCGTTTTCCCAACTTGGTAATAAAGCAGCAAAACCTGCACACTATCCGGTCCCGCTGAAGTTTCAACAACCTGTAAAAGATATTTGCTCACATCCAATGTTCAACTTGAGTGTATGCGAAGCAGGAAACCAATTATACCTTTGGGGAATAGACCAGGCAACTAGACCAACGGTGACATATTTTAAAAATATTGTCGACCCTTTCAAGAAGTTATGCCACGCATACTTTGCAACCATTTTGGTTGCTAGAGCTCGCACCGTGAGATCAATCCCTTCGGTCAGTCCACGCCCTATCTCAACACCAACTACATCATCAATACCAGTGGCAATTGCAAGACCAATCCCTGTAGCTACACAGGTACCAATTCATGCATCTTTGCACACGCATATGTACGTCCACAAACTAAAATAATCCGGATTTCTATACGGTTATCACAATTGTGACTCTACGGCTTTGAACTTACATACAAGTATTTACGGATTTTTTTCACGCTTTAATATGCATTGTGAGCGTTCCTCGACCAAAATTTTATTTCCGAGTTCGTATCCTTAACAATATACCCAACGGGTATACACTGATTGGAAAGTTGAGAAATCAACCATTGGCTTTGATTTGAAGTTCAGCCAGCCCCCAATCAAGCGGGGACGTAAATTTGGCGCAAAGAAAATCCATAAGGTTTACTTCCCAACATTCAAATAGTATGGATAGGATACGAGCGCAGGGTGGGTTAAGTTCTACGCTTAATGTAATAATAAATGAACGGTCAGAGGAGACGGCATATTACATCGTGCTGGCAAATTTATTTACTTCCGGTCGGCTACAATTTGTCATGATGGAGGTAATCATACATAAATAGTCAGTACTTGCAATGGCCGGGGTACCAAATTATTTTCCATGTGGTAAAGAGAATAAGTTTTCAAGGTTCTTAAACTCGCAAATTAAGTACAAAATTGATAATTATTGTGAACAATAATTATATAGGTATACCTATATTTAACAGGTGACGGCCGATTTATTCTTCATCGTTGATGGAGTAACCATTGCCGGGCATAGAGACATTTTGATAAGAAAAAGCGGTTTTTTCAAATGTCTTTTGGAAGCATACCAAACTAATGAAACAGAGATGTATGTACATAGGATGAACTATTCATTTTGTACAAATATGTAACATATTTAATTTGTATCTGTTAATCCGTTAGTGTGATACCCGATATCGAGCACACAACATTCGACGCATATATTTTTCTTGTGTATACCGGAAAACTCAATTGTAGAAAGTCAAACGTGAAGTATATTATGGGTAAAATTAATATAATTTTCTAAATTAATACCAAGGAAGTTTTTCTTTTCCCATCCCGCGCTGGTATCCTTCCCATTCTATTAGTATGGTAAGGATACGAAATCGGAAGCCAAAATTTGGGTGAAGTTAAAGTTCCTTGATATTAATGCAGAAACTCAGCTTGTCTATTATCTGCAGATGTCCTCCGGTTGTGCCAAATCAACAAGGAGGAACCTCTTGTCACTACTTGTCAGACAGCTATTATGCACGGTTTGACAGTTAGGAACGCAATGGAAACTTTTAACCTTGTGGAGACCCATAACAGCAAGGTGAGAAAGTTAAGGTACCATGTAAAATAGTTTTGGAATGAATGTGATTACTTCTAGTTGGAGGTAGATCAACGGCTGGAAACGTTGGAAGATAACGTGCTGAAATTTATCGCTGCAAATAAAAAAGAGCTTAACGAAGAGATTGAAACTTGGTTGGATGCTAGTGAAAAAGCAAAAGTTAAAAAGTTAATGAACGCACTGATAAGGTTTGATTAGAGTATTATCAAGTATCGGTACTGCTCGCTCCGCTAATTTTTGCAAGGGAAAAAATTTACCAGCCGGAAACACGAAATACAAGTATTTCGACCGTCGGACCAATACTTATAGAACGAACTCAAAAATATATGTTAAATAATTCGAACATAAATATTCTGTACCCCTAATTTATCATAGTAAACAAGTTTAATACATTTGCAACATTACGAATTACATACATATTGTTTGGCAGGCCAAATTATTTACATGAAATTGCATTAAAATTATATCTGTATTTTCATGGTTACCAGCAACGTCCAAAGACACGCTTTCCTCCGCAAGACTTTTTGAATGGGCCGTTCTTTCCTTTAAGGATGCTCTCGCAATTTCCGTTGTTCCGGTTAAATTCGCCGGTGCAGCAGACGGCCGTGTCGTCCCACTCGTTGCAGACACAGGCCAAGCAGTTGGACGCCCCGCTGGGCGTCAGGCGCGTGGCGAAGGTGAGGAAGAGCTAAAGCGTGAGGACCGTGGCGAAAAAGGCGACCTGATTGGATGGCGTGGTAATGGCTGAAAAAAATAATGTAGTATGAAATTTAAAAATGTTTTTTTGCATAAAATGTACACTCTTAGACAGGGTAATGAAAACCCCGGGGTTTTGCTATTGAAAACCCATACCCCGGGGTTTTACATGGGTTTTGCGGGTAGTCGGGGTAGTCAGGGTAGTCGAGGTTTTGGGGGCAAACTGAGTCAGTGTCTCATGTATTAAGATCAGAAATTAATGAAAAAATCAGTTTTTCAGTAATTTCGCAACAAAACTGCTTATTAATTATATTTTAATAAGTAATTAATTTGTTGAATTGCTAGTAATGCCTTGTTATCATATTTTGTAAAATTTCAAAACCCCGACTACCCGTGGGTATTGCTCAAATTTGCTACCCCAAAACCCACCAAAACCCGCAATACCCCGATACCCCAAAAAACCAAGGGTAGCATACCCTTCTCTTAGAAATAGAAATGATTTTACCCTTTTGAAAAGTAATAGCGATTTTAACTCTAAATTAAGTAAAGTATAATATATAAATCTATAGTAACGTTAGCTTGATAAAGAGTAAAACTTACTCAGGATTTAGTATAATTTACTTAATTTAGAATTGAAATCTAGAATACTTTACAAAAGGGTAAAATTATTTCTAAGAGTGTCAATAAACATAACGGCTAAGAAAAATCGGTTAATTTTATGGAATGAAGTTGAAATAGTGCACTCTTGAAAATAATGTTACCCTTTTGAAAACTAAATTCACTCTGAATTCTGTGTTAAGAACACTATGCTAAACCCATAGTAACATTTACTTGATGAAGAGTTAAGCTTGGCCCACATTTAAATAGTGTGTAGGTACTTTACTTCATACAGGTAGAATTCAGAGTGCATTTACTTTTTAAAGGGATGGTATTATTTTTAAGAGTATGGCGAATTAGTACCACCCGTTGTGTACATATGTATGTACACAACGGGTTGTTTTTTTTGAAAATTCGGTACTAAATACTAAATATAAATAATCACGTAAATATTTCTTACCTAGTTACTGAAAGTTTAATTGTGAATCTGATATTGTTCCGTGATTGATTCTTGTGTCGAGGAAAGGATTATGCGAGCTCTTTTTATTCAAAGTTAATTGCCTCTTTGTCCTTGAAATTATGGGAAAAGCGTGTGCCACATATCAACTAACTTTGCAAAGCGGAGGGTAGCAAAGCAATGAAATTTAGGGTTGCCGTCGGCAACTTGCCGATTCTATCCTATCCTATCCGATCGGATAACCCGAAATTAATTTATTAATTTATTAATTTGGATAATTATCCTTTCCGAGCCTCGGATAGGATGCATGTTATAACAAGGGTCGGATATCCGTATCGCATAGGATAATATCGGATAAAAACGGCAACCCTAATGAAATTGTTCCCGATGGCCCTTGTTGCCGATTAAGTTACCTCGAACGACACTTAAGTTTTCTACGTGTGGTTTCATTCTGCTGGAGAAATACATTTATTGATGTGGCAAAATAAAGAAGAGAAATGGCCAGAGATTCAATTTGTGGTCTAAATCATGATAGATTCTCTTATTGTGAACAAAGTTTTAAATATATAACATACAATCTGTTTTTAACCGTTTGATAACGAGTTTCATATACATCATTAGATTAATCGTCTTTAGCCGATCAGCATGTGTCGTAATACCAATATACATATGTGCATACAAAAGATTCTGCCAACGTTTTATCAATTACAGTGCTTTGAAAATGTTGCGAATTAATTAAAGCCACTGCCTAACCGAAATGGTTTTGTTTTGATGAAAAAAATTGCGCAATTTGAATACGCATATATTGTTATTCCTTGATGCGCCAATATCTGACTTATTTTAACTCTAATCGCCCTATTAAATAATCTCACAATTAAAGTTTCAGTGTGAAACTTTCACACTGAACAAAACTTAGAGTCTTCATGTCTTTTATAAAATAAATAATGTATCAAGAACAAGAATCAAAAGCGGAAGTGTGTATGTAAATAAGTATCGTAAATACTCTATTTATAGCCGGGACTAAAATCCAAAGCCACAGACCCGGCTACAATTAGAGACCCGCTAAATTTTGTTCCGCCAAAAATTTTAAATTTTACAAGATCATGCTGACCCAATTTGAGTTTTCTTATTTCGCAAGGCTGCCACCAGTTACCCATTCACTTTAAATCTACATTTTAAAACTAGGTTTGGTAGGCCTTTTTAATTTGCTGTCACGATATGTCCATTCTTAACTTGAAATCCATAGAAAAAATTAGTAATTGAACTTATTCGTTGATTAACATAATGTGCACCATTTTTCTTGAATGGGCTATGAACGGGGACACAGCGGACAAGACATGCCATAATTAAGGACCCGGCCATAATTAGAGACCCGGCTAAAATTTTGAAATCTTTGTGTCTAGATCATATATATGTACTCCGGTTGGTAATGATTTACGTAATACCAGTTTATAATGACAAAAACATGCGATAATTTACGTTTTATTTAATTCGACGCCTCAAATTTTTTCAGAAAAACAATAATCCTGACCTTTAGCCTATCTGCGAGATTAGAAATTACCGAAGAAGATCTTATCGGCAGATACGTTTGACATTTGTGTACGGAGTTTCAAACTTGAAACATTACGGCTTCATGTCGATATAAACATTTCGTCATCGTAGCTCAAATTAATACATGATTTCTATTAAATACGCTACAGTTACAAACCTCAAGGATGTAAGAACCAGACTCACCCTCGCTATCTGCCAAATTACAAATTGTAGTTCTGCGTCAGAAGTCAAAATAGGTTTCATAAAGATTTTTGCCTGCATTAATTTGAACAAATTTCCTTGAATTTTACATCAAATTCGATAAGAGAAGACTCCAGACTTGCGTGACTTTCCTTTATCACCAGTCTTAATCGTCTGGATTTCTCCAGTGAAATGTTTCAGGTACACAGTTCCATGTTTGAGGTAGGTCACAAATGCACACAACACACCAGTGTTGCATACATAAATGTGTATACCACAATTGTTCTGAATTGCACAAAAAAATTAGAGCGGATATGCAATTCTGCCAATTGAAGGACCTAAACCTTTCACAAGACAATGCAGGATAAGATTTATGCTTGATTAAAACAATTGCCTCCTATAAAAATTTGTCTATAAAAATGTCTATTAACCTAATTTTAAAATATTGTATCCTCAACGAAAGGCAGGTGCAGGGCAGGATTAAACTTTCTATAGTTGTACGAAAATTATGGTTTGATTTTTTAAGCAAGACACTCTCTGACCATGAAAGCTTTTATCGGACAGGTTTTCCTCTTAAAAATCAAACAGTATTTACCTACTGGGAATGCACATGCAAGACATGACAAACAATCTCTAATTCAACCAATTAGGGAAATAAAGGCATTTACATAATGTCAATAAAAAAACCAACCCTAATCCATTATCTCATAGGGGAAACAAAATATTTAAATACATGACAAATTTATTTACTTTTTCAATTTATTTATTTATTTACTTTGAGATTTTTGGTTAAAAAACTGTGGAACCCCCCATGGGGTTATTATTTCATTTGACTTACAAGGGCAGTAGGTGCACCAGGACCAGTGTATGCTACCCGGGGTTTCTGGGGTATTGGGGTATTGCGGGTTTTGGTGGATTTTGGGGTAGCAAATTTGAGCAATACCGACCGGTCGTCCGGGTAGTCGGGGTTTTCAAATAAAAAAAACATGATAACAGGGTATTGCTAGCAATTCAACAAATTAATTACTCATTAAAATATAATTAATAAGCAGTCTTATTGCTAAATTACTGACAAACTGATTTTTTTTAGTCATTTCTGAACTTAGTACATGAGACACTGACTCAGTTTGCCCCCAAAACCGCGACTACCCCGACTACCCAGGTAAAACCCCGGGGTATGCGTTTTCAATAGCAAAATCCCGGGGTTTTCCTTACCCTGACCAGGAAGCCAATAGTTAAGCCCAAATCAAGTGCAAAAAAATCAATGGCCCACAAGCCCCCAAAAAGTTAACTTGGCCTTCACACAACGTCGTCTCAATTTTCCCAAACCAATATTTTTGAAACCTGAATAGCTCGCAGCGATTTTCTTTTTGGTCTTCGTACTCTACGAAGAGTAGCATTAGACATCATACTCAGGAGGACAACCCTTCACCGACAGAATCACCGATCTTGATGCCCTTTGGATATGTTGTAGTCCTAGGTGAGTCTAGCAAAAGTGAAGCAGGATTTCATTCCATGGCCCCATTTGCGCCCGCCACACCCACTCAAAGGCGCGAAAAACACGAAAAATACCCTGTTTTCGATCATTCAAAAAATCACCAAAAATCAAATTTTGATCGGATTTTCATAATTTAAGCGTTTCTGTGATCTTAGATAGTTGGTTTATCATATCCTATAGCAAACCCAATTTTTTTAATTTTTTGAATATTTTCGGAAATTTCCTGACCAGGGGTATGCCCTCGAAAAAATCAAAATTTCAAAAAAATTGAGTTTGCTATTGGATATGATAAAGCAACTATCTAAGATCACAAAAACGCTTAAATTGTGAAAATCCGAACAAAATTGGATTTTTGGTGATTTTTTGAATGAACGAAAACAAGGTATTTTTCGTGTTTTTCGCACCTTTGAGTGGGTGTGGCGGGCGCAAATGGGGCCA